CATCATCCATCCATCCATCCACCCATCCATCTTCCATCCATCCATCCATCATCCATCCATCATCCATCCATCCATCATCCATCCATCCACCATCCATCATCCATCCATCCATCATCCATCCATCAATCATCCATCCATCATCCATCCATCCACCATCCATCCATCCATCCATCCATCATCCATCCATCCATCCACCCATCCATCTTCCATCCATCCATCCATCATCCATCCATCCATCCATCCACCCATCCATTTTCCATCCATCCATCCATCATCCATCCATCATCCATCCATCCATCATCCATCCATCCACCATCCATCATCCATCCATCCATCATCCATCCATCAATCATCCATCCATCATCCATCCATCCACCATCCATCCATCCATCATCCATCCATCCATCCACCCATCCATCTTCCATCCATCCATCCATCATCCATCCATCCATCATCCATCCATCCATCCATCCACCCATCCATCTTCCATCCATCCATCCATCATCCATCCATCCATCCATCCACCCATCCATTTTCCATCCATCCATCCATCATCCATCCATCATCCATCCATCCATCATCCATCCATCCACCATCCATCATCCATCCATCCATCATCCATCCATCAATCATCCATCCATCATCCATCCATCCACCATCCATCCATCCATCATCCATCCATCCACCATCCATTCATCCATCCATCATCCATCCATCATCCATCCACCATCATCCATCATCCATCCACCATCCATCCATCATCCATTCATCCATCCATCATCCATCCATCCATCCATCCATCCATCCATCCATCCATCCATCCATCCATCCATCATCACAGTTCTCCTGATCCCTGAAGATCCGGCCTCCATGAACCCCTCCGTGAAACCTCACCTTACGGGTCAGTTTCACCTGGTTACTGGTTCTGGTTCTGGGTGAGGGGCCAGACAAACACACAGTAGAAGACCACAATCTCCTGCCTGGACCAGAAGTCCTGAGGCCTCCTCCTGGATCCAGGCCGGGGGGGGGGGGCAGTGCTGCGTGTATCAGGAAATGCCACAGAGAGTCCTGAGGTTCTGGGTGTATTGTCCAGTCCTGGTCTCTGGTCTCTGTAATCAGGTGGGTTCAGTTCTCAGGCTCTTTTTATTTTCTGTTGAAGTCTGGATCTCCCGCCTTCCTTCCCTCACGTTGTTCTGACTCTCCATCCATCTCAGAGCTGATCTTTTTTGGGGGAAACACCTTCTCGCTGATATTTTTAACCCACAGCCTGAGGTATTGTTTACAGCCGGACTCCGTTTGTATTTTTATCCACCAATCAGCTGCAGAAAACACCCGGAGGAGGCGGAGCTGCTGCTCTGTGGGAGAAACATTCTGTAGATTTGTTATTCTGCTGACAAATAAACACAAAAACTCCTCATCTTTTTTTTTTTCAAGAAGAACAAAACATGATTTGTTTTTAGATTCAAAGAGACTACAGGTTGGATGTTTACCCACAATGCACAGCAGCTCGTTCCAACTGCCAAGCACGGTGGTGGAGGTGTCATAGTTTGGGGTAACATCTGCTTGTCCTTTCAGGCTCATTTGACCCAAACATACCAGAGGAGGGACCGTCGGCGCCCCCTCCTGGCTGGTTGGAGGACATTCACGGGTATCAGGGTCCCAACAAAGAAGGTAGGTTCGTGTTTTTCAGCTTTGCTCCTCCTGTCGTCTCATTTATTTGTTTGTGTTTGTGATCAGGTCCAGAGGACGATGAGCCGCTGTACCCACCTCCCCCCGCCTACAACCCCCAACCTGAGCTGAACAGGAGCACCTCGGTCCCCACCGTCAGGTGACCCTCAGCACGCCTCGTTAATCTAAAGCCCAGAGTTGTATAAAGTACCACAAAGTGATACTTGAGTAAAAGTACAAGTATCTTACCAAAAACTGACTTTAACTTTTACCAAAGTCTCCTTTAGGAATATTACTTGAGTAAAAGTGTTAAAGTATGTGATTTTTGTTGTAGTTAAGTATTAAAAGTCAAAGTATTGATTTAAAATGAGCAGTTAGATTTTCTGTAAGGACATTTATTAGGAGGTGA